CATCATCAATTAGTACCAACACTAGTTATGACATTATTATTGACTCGACTCATTAATCACGTTACAAATACCAAAAATCTCTTAAATTATATCACATCATCAATTAGTACACTAGTTAGTATATTAATTGGTGCATATAGCATTATCCTTTATAATATGTTCTATTTTCTAACTTTGATATATGTGTAGATTATCCGGTGGTTTTTGCTTGTCAAAAGTGTTGTGCAACTTATTTAGAGAAATGTCTTCAACAAATAAAAATAAAGTATGTCACATTATTATTGCAAATTACAATTTCATTGTGAGTGATATTTGAAAATTCCATTATTTTGTTAAATTAAGGGGTTGTTTGGGATGTCCTAAATAAGTGCACTTTTTGTCTTTTTAGACTAAAAAGTTGAGGAAAAAAATATGGAAGTTTGGGTTAACTTTTTGACTTTTTACAAATAAATGTGTAATAAAATATTATTAGAACAACAGAAATGACTACTTTACCCTTCATACTATATTGGCAGGACGAAGAGAAAGTGACTTCCTTGTTTTCCGTGCATGTCAAGCAGAGGTGGAACACGGGCGCACAGTGTTCCACTTGTACGAAATATAACTTTTTTATTTTTTTTTCCCTTATTTTGTTTGAGTTGTTATTGCAGGTCTGCTCTGTAGTTTTTGAAATTCATATCATAACATGTGAATAAAAAAAGATAAACCACGTACATGCCCAGTCATGAAATTTTATTTTATTTTATTTTTTTTAAGTTTTTGTTTTTTTTTTTTCTGACCAATGGCTAGAAATAATTTTTTTATGCCATGTTGAGAACAAATTATTATAAAAGATATTGCAAAAACTTCCCCCATGTTTATATATGTTAATTAGTGGACATACTTCCTTTAAAAATAAAATTTGTTAAAAATGTCTACGCTCCGAAAAATATGAAACTATTAAAACCAAACGTGTTTACAAATATGAATCTCAGTTACAGATATTAACAACCTTCAACCAATATTCTTCTATTTCCAATTCGCCCCTACCGGTGCGCTTGCCGTATGAGTTCATTCATAATGTTCGCTCCTACAACGGCCATTGCAGGGTCGGAGTCCCCTTCCTCCATCACATCAGCAACCCGTGTGTATTCACCGTGGTCGGGCATTTGGGGGGCCACGTAATCGTCACTGTCTGGGATAGCCATCGTGACCTCATCAAGTTCGCTATGTCGGCATATGAAGTTATGTAACGCCATCGACGCATTTGCAAACGTAACCTGATTAGAAAAACTTAACTTCTGCATATTCCGCAATGCCCCCCACCTAGACTTCCAGGCATCGAATGTCCGCTCGATACAACAACGCAGTGACGAATGTGCCTTGTTGAACATTTCGAACTGATTCTGCAGTGTTCAATTTCGATGGGCATTTTGGTGATACCTATACCCCTTGTAGGGGGCTAGGTACCCTGTCTTGTTGCTGTAACCGCTATCCACCAAATAGTATTTTCCTGCAAAATTTGTTTCATTTCATTTTGAATTTGACAGTATTGTGTACCACTTAAATTATTCTTCAATTAACTTGTCTTGGTACGCAATTTTTTTTTTGTTAATAACAATAAATTTGTTGAATAATTTCATTACTAAATTATTTTTTTCCTAATTTTGTTTTCAATTACTCATTTTCCCAATTTATTTTGTTCTCAAAAATTATATTCCCAATTACAGCATTGTTTGTGAATTATAATAATTAATTTTTTTTATGACAATTACGTTTGCATTAGTAAAAATTGTTCTTATCCCAATTTTGTTTTCAATTACTATTTACCACTTAAATTATGTTTCAATCAACTTGTCTCAATTTTTTATTCGTCTAATAATGAATTATTCTTGTTAAGACCTTTTGTTTTCAATTACTCTTCTTCGCAATTACTTTTGTTGTGCAAAATTATATTTCCAATTACAGCATTTTGTGCGAATTATAATAATTAATTCTTTTTCAATTTATAAGAATTAAGAGTTGTCAATTATTTCGTTAGTAATTTTTTCTTTTTCCATTTTTGTTTTCAATTACTATTTCATTGTGAAGTTCTTTTGTTGTGAAAAATTATATTTCCAATTACAAAATTATATTTCTTATTACTTTTTATTTCATTAACAACATTTCTATTTCCATTTTTTTTATTAATTTAAATTATAAATTGTTTCATTTCATTTTCATTTTCACATTCTTATTTACCACTTAATTATTTTTCAAAGCTTTTCATTTTCATTTGTTTCATTTTTTAAAGTTGTTTGCAAAAATTTTGAATTTTGGGAAATAAACTACATTAGACAACTGATTTTGTTGACCAAATAAAAAAAATAAAAAAAGACAATAATTTTCACAATTTTGTTTCCAAGAAAATAAATTATTGAAAATATTTATATTTATATTTTCTACGTATTCATATTTCTATTTAATATTTTTTACCTAGTACGGGGTGCGGAAGTGATGTTTCAGCTCGGTTGTCACGTAGTGCAAAACCCGGCTGTCGTGCATGCTCCTGTTCCAACCGACAGAGACAAATGTGAAGCACAAGTTAAAGTCGCATACGGCAATTATGTTCTGTGTCGACACGCCTTTCCGGTCATAGTATGATGTGGCGTACTCTTGCGAGACACGAG